AATGAAACTTCATTTTAAAAAAATTAAAGTATCACTTTGGATCAAAAAAAAGAATAAGAGAATAGATGGATATATTAGACTATAATAAAATATTTACTTATTTGTTGAAAATATCTTCTTTTGTGATGTCTTTTTTGACACTGTTAAATAGTTAATTTTGCCAAACAGTTTTATTGCACACACCCTTCTGTATGTGTTATTTCACTATAAAAGCGGTTTTTTTAAGAGGGGATTTTATTTTATTTTTATTGATTTATAGTCAGTTTACAATATTGTGTCAGTTTCTGGTGTAGAGCACAATTTTTCAGTCATACATGAATATACATATATTCATTTTCACATTCTTTTTCACCATGAGCTACCACAAGATCTTGTACATATTTCCCTGTGCTATACAATATAAACTTACTTATCTATTCTATATATACCTGTCAGTATCTACAAATTTCAAACTCCCAGTCTGTCCCTTCCCACCCTACTACCCACTGGCAACCACTAGTTTGTATTCTGTGTCTATGAGTCTGTTTCTCTTTTATATTTAAATTAATTAGTCTTTTTTTTTTCAGATTCTACATATGAGTGATATCATATGGTATTTTTCTTTCTCTTTCTGGCTTACTGCACTTAGAATGACATTCTCCAGGGACATCCATGTTGCTGCAAATGGCATTATGTTGTCGTTTTTTATGACTGAATAGTATTCCATTGTATAAATATACCACCACTTCTTTTTCCAATCATCTGTCGATGGACGTTTAGTTTGTTTCCATGTCTTGGCTATTGTAAATAGTGCTGCTGTGAACATTGGGGTGCATGTGTCTTTTCAAATTAAAGTTCCCTCTGGATATATGCCCAGGAGTGGGATTGCTGGATCATATGGTAAGTCTATTTTTAGTATTTTGAGGAGTCTCCATACTGTTTTCCATAATGGCTGCACCAAACTACATTCTCACCAACAGTGTAGGAGAGTTCCCTTTTCTCCACACCCTCACCAGCATTTATCATTTGTGGACCTTTGAATGATGGCCTTTCTGACTGGTGTAAGTACTTTCTGTACTTTTTGTAGTTTTGATTTGCATTTCTCTGACAGTTAGTAATACTGAGCATTTTTTCATATGCCTATTGGTCATTCGTATGTCTTCATTGGAGAATTGCTTGTTTAGGTCTTCTGCCCATTTTTGAATTGGGTTGTTTGTTTTTTTCTTATTAAGTCATATGAGCTGTTTATGTATTCTGGAGATCAAGCCTTTGCCAGTTTTCATCTTTTGCAAATATTTTCTCCCATTCCATAGATTGTCATTTTGTTTTGCTTATGGTTTCCTTTGCTGTGCAAAAGTTTGTAAGTTTAATTAAGTCCCAGTTGTTTATTCTGGCTTTTATTTCTATTTCTTGGGTAGATTGCCCTACAAGAACATTGCTGAAATGTGTGTGAGATAATGTTTTGCCTATGTTTTCTTCTAGGAGGTTTATTGTATCTTGTCTTATATTTAAGTCTTTGATCCTTTTTGAGTTTATTTTTGTGTATGGTGTGAGAGAGTATTCTAACTTCATTGATTTACATGCTGCTGACCAGTTTTCCCAAAACCATTTGCTGAAAAGACTGTCTTTATTCCATTGTATGTTCTTGCCTCCGTTGTCGAAGATTAATTGACCAAAAGTTTGTGGTTTCATTTCTGGGCTCTAAAGAGGGGATTTTAAATTAAATGCAGATAAACACTGAAATGGCAACTAAAAGAAGTAACTGATAATTCCACAGCCTTTGGCATTCAGCAGGAAGGGGACATTAAGAGCTGTCTCACAGGCTAAAACCTAGTTGGGCTGGGGACTGTTGCAGTGTCACTTTTAAGTCTTTTAATTTTTCTGGGGAGGGTGTAGCTCAGAGGTAGAGTGCCTGTCTAGTGAGCACAAGGCCCTGGGTTCCATCAAAAAATAAACAAACCTGATTAACTTCCCCCCCTAGAATTAAATTTTAAGTCTTAATTTTCAGAGGTCCACTCTCTCAGGAATCCTGCGTCCTTGGGACCTGTTGGCTGCTGAAGTCTTTCACCCAGTGGTGCTGCCACCACCACATCACCAATGATTGCTTGGTGATTTCTCACATCCTTTAGTCTTCACAATGCCCCTAAGGTAGGTCTTAACTAAGCCCACTTTTCAGATATGTTTTCGATATGCAGAGGAAGTAAGGGAAGGAAGTGTTAACTTCCGTATCTGTGACCTCTAATAACGTGCTCAACATTGATGCGTAAAGTCCTGTGAGGTATTGGTGGCCAACAAAGAGCAAGGATGAAAATGTAATTGTGAAAAAGTCCAGCCTGGAAAATCTTCTTAGGTTTTTTGTTTTTTGTGTTTTTTTGCTTTGAAAACTATTTGTAAGACAATCTTTCATCACCTTCCAATGAGAGCATAGCTTTTAACCACAAAAGAAGTGATATTTTACACAATAAGAAAAAAAAATATTCCTTAAGAGGGCACATGCAAAAAAATAAATTTAACAATTGAGGCTAACCAAAAGAATATTTAATGGAGCCACATTTGAGTCTAACATCTTTAATGTTGTTCTCAGTACATCCCTGGGAACTGTCTGGGACAGTTCTGTTGTATCTAACTAGTAACTCTAATATGCTGTGGGGAAGCTTGGCCTGGAAATCATGAGGCAAAGTGAGGCTTGTGGGCGGTTTCCAGATTGTTCTTACTATGTTGTCAGGTCAGAAAGGAAGGCAAGTGGTGTTGGGGGATATGCCCAACCTCCAGATGTGTCTAACCTTTGTGAAGCAGATGCCATCGGTGCCCTTCCCATACCCCTAGACATTTCAGGATTTTTGGTTGATTTCCAGCTGCCAGTATCTGCACCTCTGTGTCTACAGCCTCTTTCCTTGGACCTGCAGATAAGAGTGCCGCCTACTTGCATGGCAGACCAGAGGAGCAAAGAATTAACACTCTCTCCCCTCAGCAGGCAGATGCCTCAGTCAGTGGCTCTTAGAAATTAATGTATAAATATCCCAGCTCCTGTCCCTTGGCTGTAATAATTCTGAAGTGTGTGTTGCACCATTCCTCGATGTTTGCTTGGAGGATTGAGCTCCAGTGCCCACTGTGGTAGCTGGCTGGATGACTCACTTTTTATTGGCTGTCTTCCCTTCCCTGTATCCCCAAGCCCCTTCGTACCAGCATTCCTTGCACCTCTCAGATAAACTACCTGTACCTGAATCTTTGTCTCAGCGACTGCTTCTGTGGGAACCAAGCTAAAACACCTTAGTTATGGACTCTCCAATAGAGCATCTCCTGGTACCCCACTCATGAAGAGAATATGGGTGGAACAGATTCAGAGTATAAGTCATCATACTGTTTCTTGTTTTTCAAATTACTTGGAAATGATCTCACCTGGTTGTACTTTATTGCTTTAGTAGTGGCTTTGAAGGGGTTGGTGATGAGACAGAGTACATGCTTGTGGTTCCCCCCGAGAAGAAGTCATTCTTGAGCAAAGTGAACATCTAAAGAACATCCCGGATTGCCCACATGCAGAGATGATAAACAACGTATTTAACAACTGCTACAGCATGGTCCTCAACCAATCATAAAAGATGCTGGCGTGTATGCTGCAGGGCTGCCACACCAGCTGCCCACTGGCTCTGCTGGTGAAACACAGGGGTCCCAGCTCTGCTTGGGTCACAACTTCAGGCTAGACTGAGTGGTCATTGAGCAGAGAAGGGTTTACTTGGCTTTCTCCAGAGGGGCTCAGACGTAGGCGCATGTGATTTTGATTCTTAGAAAAAGAAACGATGGGTAGAAACATTTATCAGACATCTCTGAAGAGAGCTAAAGACCCAGCAGGGGCCACATCGGCAGGGACTATGAGAGCACTACACTACAGTGCATTATTTCTGTTTTCTCCTGAGTATGAAAGTAAAAGCCACAAACTGCTCCAGGTTTCCTTCTAGAGAATTGTCTCTTCTCCACTGTGGATAGCCTGGGCAAGACCAAAAATAGTAGCCAGCATGTAGGTGTGTATATGACCCAAGATAACTCCACTGGAGTCTCCTGGGACTGTGAAAGTGATGCAGACTGATGAGAGGATGGGAGGAAAAGTCGCTGGGGTTCGTCTGTGCAGTGAGACTGCTGGTTCACCCATGAGATAGGGGTGCTATAAAGAATGGTCAGCTGGTTCCTGCTTCCAGACCCCAGAGTTGCCTGGTTTCTCTGCTTGCCCTTGACCTTCTTGTTGGCTTTGTGAGCCTTTTGATGGCCTTCCAGTAATTTCCTTTTATTGCTTAAAATTCCCGAATTGGTTAATTTTACCTGCACCAAAAGAACCATAACAAATTTGGGTCCTACATGCTTATCTTCAGCCATGTTTTGTGGAGCGTGGACCCCTTGAAGGAGTGTGTGGCTGCAGCTACCAAAAACGGAGGGAAAGAAGCCAGTCCCCGGATCTTTGGCAAACAAGAGAAAGAAAACACAGGAGGTTGGTGTGGGCCTGAGGGACACAGTACTCATTCTTTGAGGAAGATGAGGGCTCAGTTACCCACAGAGCTCAAGCCCCACTCTGGGTTCTCCACTGTCCCGCAGGTTGCCTGGCTTGTGTGTCACAGATTCCTCACAAGCGAAGCCCTAGTGGCTCAGGCAGATACTGGGAAAAGGACAGAGGCCCAGGTCGGGCCCTCTTGTTTGCAATTCTGGTCAGACAGTGGAAGTGGGCATTGAAATCATGGGCTAAAATGCAGCCTTGCTGGAATATGTAGACTTACTCTTAAGAATATGTCACTGACCATGACAGTCACATTTACTACACAAGCATATGTCTAGATGTATTTCATGGGAACCCTAATGCGAACTGGGTAGATTTTCCTTTTTTATGCTTCTTTGCATTAAGAAAAGTGGGAAATGAGTTTTCTGTCACAGTTGCAACTATTCCTTTGCCAGTGTTGGGTACAACACGTCCACATCAAACCCTCAAAGAGAGGCCATCTGACCCCCTGCCCACCTGGCCCACCCACGAGCTTTGCCTAGAAGCCATGTCTCTTAAAGAATTTAGCGCGGGCCATAGTATCATTGACGAAGTCAGTGTCTATGTCCTTGAGGGTGGCAACGGCTTCAGCTCCTGACTTGAAGGCTGAGAGACCACCTGAAATGAAACCAGAGTTTCAGATTGAAATAGTAACTTAACAGCAGAAATAAGATACGAACCTTCCCAGGATGTCAGCCCTTTAGGCAAACCTTCCAAAGCAGCCAGTCCTCAGTCCTCTTTCCCCCTTCCTCCTCTCTGGAGAGGATCTAATACCTTAAGAATCCCTGAGAACAGTCCAGATTGCTTTCCCCTCTCTCTTTCTAAAGACTTTTGTTTTCTTGCTACAAAAGTCAGATTTGCTTCTCATTTCTTTGCAAATCTTCAGTCTAAGAATGCTTGTAACATTTCAGTCATTCAGTCATTTGCCCATGCACTCAATTCTTTCATTCAATAAATGCTTTTAAGCATCTACTCTGTACCAGGATGGGTGTCACACTGCATACATGGTGCACATGGTACCCAGGACATCCTCATTGCTTTGTAATGCACATGTGCGTATCACACCCTAGAAGTTTAATCTGCAGTACTTATTTATGTGTTTAACATAATTGTGCTCCGCTTGGATGTCTAGAGAAAAAGATCTCTAGTCCTGATCCCTGCCTTCGAGGACCTTGAAATAGAAAATAGAAACTGTTTATTCTAAATTAAGGCCATAAAGTGTGGAAGGAGTGAGGTACATAAATATACCATGGGTCTAGAGGAGGTAGACTTAGTAAGAATTGATGTGGCTGGATGTGAAGGGAGAAGGAACCCGAGAGCCTAAGAAAACAATCTGGTTTGTCTGGCTGGGATGACTGGGTATATTATGGCACCTTGTACAGAGACAGAGAATACAGAAGGAAAAGCAAATTTATAGTGGGAAACTAGTGAGTTAATTCAGCCTGGAAGAGGCTGAACCTGAGGGGGCCTGTGATCAGCCAGAGATCTCCACCTGGGCAAATCATGATACCTAAAGCCCTGGTGTCACTGAGGATGTTCACAGAGTAAAAATTCATTTAAACAATTCAGAAAGTGGGTGATAGCTTCTTGCATCAGGAAAAACAAAAAACATTATCAAAAGAAGGCAAACATTTTCTCTTAAACTATCACGCAGACTCTCCAGGCATCACTCAATGGCTCAATAACCAATGAGAGATGTAATAAGAACCCCAACATCTGGCAGAAGTGGAAACAGAAGTTGGGAAGGAAGACCACTCAAAGGAACTCAGTGATTCAGAGAGCACTAGGGCTCCTCCCAGGCCCACGCTGACCCGACGGGCACACGCCGGAGAGGCCCAGGGCTCACCTGGCCTTCGGGAGTCTCACTACTGCTCTTCTAAACAAAGCACCACATGTACGGCCTACCTTTGAGGTGCTGAGCCTCACTCCACGAGGGGAACTTTTTCTGGATTGCCTTAATTCTGTCCGTTAGAATCCCAACAGCCTGCAGAAGGTGTTCTTTGCTATCCCAGGTGCCAGCAGGTTGATGAATATTTTTATCAAGCTAGAAAATTCAAATAATAATATCAGCATCTGGATGAAGAAGCACATTTTTCTGCTGCTTCAGATTTCTCCTCCTTGTGTTCAAGATCATAGACACTGGCCTCAGCCCCTTTCCTTTATTCCCACAGAATCAATTCTGCAGTACTTTTTTTCACAGAAAAGAGAGTCAGAGAAGCAAAGTAAGATTTGGGAGAGGTAAATGTGGCATAGGCTTGGTTAAGCACTCAAATATAAGTAAATAAATGAAAAAAAGTTGTTTCAAAGCAAATAATTAGTACCCAAAGTCTAGATATTTCTAGTAAAAAAAATTTAAGAAATTTTTTCTGTGTTGGCATAAAAACAGACATATGGATCAATGAAACAGCATAGAGAGCCCAGAAATAAACCCACAAACCTATGGTCAATTAATCTTCGACAAATGAGGCAAGAATATACAATGGAGAAAAGACAGTCTCTTCAGCAAGTGGTGTTGGGAACGCTGGACAGCAGCTTGTAAATCATTCAAGCTAGAACACTCTCCCACACCACACACAAAAATAAACTCAAAATGGCTTAAAGACTTAAATATAAGACAAGACACAATAAACCTCCTAGAAGAAAACACAGGCAAAACATTCTCTGACATAAATCTTAGCAATGTTCTCCTAGGGCAGTCTACCCAGGCAATAGAAATAAAAGCAAAAATTAACAAATGGGACCTAATTAAACTTAGAAGCTTTTGCACAGCAAAGGAAACCATAAACAAAACAGAACGACAACATACAGGATGGGAGAAAATATTTGCAAAAGACGAGACTGACAAAGGTTTAATTTCCAGAATATATAAACAGCTCATGTAACTCAATAACAACAACAACAAAAAAAACAAACAACCCAATCCAAAAATGGGCAGAAGACCTAAACAAACATTTCTCCAGCGAAGAAATACAAATGGTCAATAAGCACATGAAAAGATGCTCAATATACCTTGTTATCATAGAAATGCAAATCAAAACTACAATGAGGTATCACCTCACACCAGTCAGAATGGCCATTCAAAAGTCCATGAACAATAAATGCTGGAGAGGGTGTGGAGAAAGGGGAACCCTCCTACACTACTGGTGGGAATGTAGTTTGGTGCAGCCATTATGGAAAACAGTGTGAAAAATTCCTCAAAAAACTAAAATAGACTTACCATATGATCCAGCAATCCCACTCCTGGGCATATATTCAGAGGGAACTCTAATTCGAAAAGATACATGCACCCCAGTGTTCATAGCAGAACTATATACAATAGCCAAGACATAGAAACAAACTAAATGTCCATTGACAGGTGACTAGATAAAGGAGCTGTGGTATTTTTATATAATGGAATACTACTCAGCCATAAAAAAGAATAAAATGCTATTTGCACCAACAGGGGTGGACCTGGAGATTGTCATTCTAAGTGAATTAAGCCAGAAAGAGAAAGAAAAATACTATATATCACTCATACATGGAATCGAAAAAGAAAAAAAGGACACTAATGAACTCATCTACAAAACAGAAACAGACTTGCAGATATAGTAAACAATCTTATGGTTACTAGGGGAAAGGGGGTGGGAAGGGATAAACTTGGAAGTTTGAGATTTGCAAACGTTAGCCATTATATATAAAAATAGATTAAATAACCAAGTTTCTTCTGTATAGCACAGTATCTTGTAATAACCTTTAATGAAAAACAGTATGAAAATGAATACGTGTATGTATATGTATGACCTGAACACTTGTGCTGTACAGCAGAAGTTGACACATTGTAACTGACTGTACTTCAATTTAAAAAACTTTTTTTCTGTGGAAGCTAGACATCTGGGTTTCTACAGACAATTAAAAAAAATAAAGCCTGGAAGCAAATATCCCAATGTTGCCTTCCTCCAGTTTGCCTAAAGAACAAGATGCTTCAAGTAGTGTTTAATTATAATGTTTTGATCTACATGGATTAAATTTACTGCTTCATGAACCCCAAGAAGATACCTGTAATAGTGCCCTTTGTAAGATTTTTTCAGTGTAAGTACATTGCACACAATTAATTGTAAGTTGTACTTATGAATCTCATAAAATATTCTTTAAAAAAGTATCCAATAACTGGTAAACCTTGAACAAAACACCAAAGATGTGTTACAGAAATCCCAGTAGGAATTCTGCTTAAGTACCAGTGTTCTGAAGCCTAGAATAAATGCAAATAGATCTCAGTTTGGATTGAGCTTCTGTCAGGAAGGATGAAGTGGGACTGATTGAAAGTTTCTAGCTAAGTACCTGCATCAAGCCAAACTTATTTCCTGTGTGGTCCCAGCCGTCTAGCAGGACAGTTCCGCCGTGGCTTACTCTGGAGATGATGGCTGCAATGAGGGCAGGGTCCACGCAGTGCCTCAGCCCGACTTCTTTGATCAGAGTCCGGTAAGGCTTTAAGGCCCTCAAATCCATGTCGGCAAACATTTCAGAACCAGGGATGCCTAAGTCAAATAAAAAATAAACTCTTTCCTCCGCTCCAGAAGAGAATCCTTTTCCAAAGTTTAATAAGTTAGACACAGCCCATGACTGCAGCCCACAAATCAGGACAACCATTCCGGGACATTTTTTGGTCTCTGATTGCATAAACTCAGAAAGGTCCACAAGCCCAGATGGACACCACTTCCGTCTTTTTGTTCTTCTGTTTTCTGCCTCATTGGTGCATTGGGAAAACTCTTGGACTAGAATTCAGCCAACCTGTGTTTGAGCTTGGTTCTGCCACTGCCTAGCTCCTGGCCCATGGGAAGTCTCTCCTCCTTGCTGAGCCTCAGTTTTCTGACCTGTAAACTGGGGAGGTAGATAAGACTGACCTTGTAGTTGCTTCCAGCTCTGACACGCTAATACCAAGATAACATGAAGAAGACTGGAACAGAATTACAAAAGAGGACAAAAAAAAAAAAAGCAAGAGGCTTGTTTAAAATGCTCATGCTGCAACTTGAAGTGACTCAACAAACCCAGAAACCAAAGCCAGAATTTAATATTTTATTGAAGCAAGCATTTCAACAGGTAAAAATAAACACATCTGGACCAGATTTGGAATGGATGAAAGGAAAATAAAAAGAAACATTTTGTTAGGCTGGTCAGGATTCTGTTTTCCTCTAGTTTTCACTTGTGATATTAGTGCTCTAATCATGATTATACGTTTTCAAAATTAAACTACTCCCCAAGAAGGAATCTAAAAACGATGAAAGAAGGCTCGCCAAATGTTTGCCTTGCTTTTCACTTACCGCAATTAATCAACTTGCCAATATCACAGGAGGCACCAGAGGTCTCCATGGTCGTGATGTCACCATAGCAGCCGTGGTACAGGGGGGGATGCAGGCGAGAGTTCATTGAATGAGTGAAAGTATGTGAGCCCCTGGAAGTGCCTGGGTAGGGGCAGAATGATAATTCACAGGAAGCCTTCGAGAAAACATTGCTAAGCTGCTGTAGTGAATGTTACTAGACCAAAGGCAAAGCCATACACTTAATCCTCCCCAAGTTCCTCTTCGAGATCTCAGAATGGCTCATCAGACAAAACAGAATGAACGATCCCCCATTCCCACTCTACCTCAACCTTAGGAAAATTTAATACAGCACTTAATTCTAAACATTGTGCAGAGTGTTAGGATAATCAATTCTTACAGGTCTCAAAAACATTTGCTGCAATTTAGATCAGAATGAAAATTGCCACTAGAGTTTTAAGTACAAACTTTGAGAGAAATTTGAAGATACTTTGGACACAAATACTTCTGGTGATGGAAACATCTGAATTAATAATGGCCTTTGTTTAGGAGATCAGAAAGAAGGGTACCATTAACTTAAAAGTATTCATTTTAAATCATGCTGCTGTGAAGCTTAGTTTTATCTAAGTCTAATTAATACAAATTGGAAATAAAATTTAACTTACCATAAAAATTTAAGTTAAATATATGCTTATTTTTTTAATTTTGTCATTATGAAGTGAGTTTCTGTCCAATTCTGTTTACTAAAGGAGCTATAAAGCTTTCTGTACATTGAAAAGTTTGTTCTAACAGTTCCTAGGATTGTTGACTTGTACCTTAAGACTACAGATTTTTGTTGTAAGAAATTATATTTGTTACAATGTTTGATGTAAAAACCTATGTCGTTTCACTTAGTGTTGTGAATGGTGTTCTTAAACAGAGAGGTGGATTTTATCCGTTCACTGTAGGTCTAGTTCTGACTAACTTGGCAGTACAGAGAGTCTCTCAGAGTCAGGCGCACAACCAGTGGAGCTCTTCCTTATGAATATTTGTCTTAAAAGGAAAACAAAGCAACTCTAAAGATGACCTTTTTACAACCATGTACTTTTTTAAAAAGCAGAATTCATCAAAGTGAATAAAACTACAGGCACAGTCTGCTCTGTCCCACCTAAAAACAGGCAGAAAAGGAATTATAAATGGACCCAAAAGTCAGACAGTGAAACTGCCAAGTAAACTCCGGATGCTAAGAAAGCCGATGTAGGTAATAAAAGCAGCAGAAACTAGCAACGCCCTTAAACTTCTCTAAGCTGTGTGGAGTCCCATGTGAGGCAGAGAGCAGGACATCATGTCGACAATCTCCATGGCCCTTGTACTGTCTGGTGCCTGCACTGTGTGTGGGAAATACATGTGAGTGAACGAACGAATGGACAGATTCCCATGACACAGATCGCATGTAAAATTGAAGGAGAACGTGTGTGTGTGTGTGTGTGTGTGTGTGTGTGTGTGTGTGTGATTTGCTTATATTTTCAAGACACAATGCAAAGATGAACCAAGACCTTGTAAAAATTGTTAATTACTGGGGAGGGTAAGATGAAGGTAAAGGGAACAGAGATAGAGGTTAGACTTCTCTGTGCCTTCTTACAGTTTTGATTTTGGTGACTGGTAAGTCTTTCCATCAAAACATAAATATTTTGATTTACAAAGTAAATCAAATAGAAAAAAAAAGACATTCCTAAAGATGAAAAATAAACCTAACTCTCCATCGAATTGAAACCTTAACACGTAGAGGAAAACTATTTTAAATCACTTAAAAACACGTCAGTGTAAGTACAGCTGACCCTTGAACACCATGTTTGAACTTAGTGGGTCCACTTACACTTGGATTTTTTTCCAATAAATACTGTACTGCAGTGCTACACAATTTCCAGTTGGTTGAATCTCTGGTTATAGAACCAAGGGTAAGGAGGGCCGACTCTAAGTTATAAGCAGATTTTCCACTGTGCAGAGGGTCGGCACCCCTAACCCCCATGGTGTTCAAGGGTCAGCTGTACACACCACTAATGGCATGTATCCTACGAACATAAAAAATCACAAGAGAATCTTAAACTGTATTATATTCACAGTCTCATTGGTGGTTGGTAATACTGGCAGAGTTATTTTGAAGCTATTATAATATATAAATAAGTAAGGATGTTCATGTCATTAGGAACCAGGAATGGCAAATTGTTGAAAACCATAAAAGCTGGGTGTTGGGGACATGGGAGTTTATTATACTCTGCTCTCGCTGTTTTGTATGTTTGAAAATTTCTAGAACAAAGTTGGAGACCCTTTCTTGTTTACTTATATTAAAAATGCAACACACTCATACTTCATTCCTTGTCTCCCAATACCTTACATTTATATCACTTGCCACCTGGCATTTCTGTCTGTCTCCCTCCCTCCCTCTCTCCCTGCTCTCTCTCTGTCTCTGTCTCACCCTGTTCCTCTCACTAGAACTCTTTTTTCTCTGCTGTATCCTCCTCAACGCCTAGAACAATGCCTGGCACCAAGTGGAAATTCAGTAAATATTTGCTGAGTGGGTAAATGGATGGATAAATGAATGAATGAGAAGTAAAAGAATTACCTAAAACATCTAGATCAATTGTCCATATATGAACAGGTCCAGTTTCCTTCTACTGGGGAGACGGCCTTTGCTTTGCTCAATGTATGGCCCACAGGCATCAGTGTGATCTGGGGCGCCTATTACACATGCATCATCTCTGGGCTCCTTATATGAAGTCTGCTGAACCAGAATCTTTAAGTATAAGGCCAAGGAATCTGTACTTTAACCAGGATTCCCTACTTGTGTTGGCCTTATAAACACATAGGCCCTTCTTAATTACAGTCACCTTTCAGTTACACGCAGCTAGTAAGCTGGCTCATAATTAGTCTACTGGCTATAAAACCGTGTTCCCACCTGGCAGTTAAAAAAGGAATAAAAATTTTAAACTATGTTTCTCTACCTTGGACCATAAGTAACCTTGGACCAGAATTTCCAGTTGGAAATAATCACTTTTCAGTAGCCTCACCTTTCCAAATTTAGAATTAAGTATTTTGGAAACCCTTCTTAATCATCACTCTATTAACAAAGACAACTTGAAAGTTTATTCACAATGGCTTTTCTTTCTTTTTTTTCAGGCCAAAGTTTTTATCTTTTCTTATTCAAGTTCCCTGCCATTTCACCAGCCTACCTTTCCAGCCTTCCCCTCAGAAATCCTCTCTTCTGTTTCCATCATACTGACCTGCTTACTGTATCTCAAATACCTTCATGTATTTATGCCTTTGTGCCTTGACTAAAGTTATTCCTCCCACGCAGCAGCCTCTGCTCTTCTCTTATTAAACCACAAAGCCTTATTCCACTGTCATGTCTCCCCAAAAGCCTTTTTGGTCTCACCATCTTGACTGGATGTGAACTCTTTCTTTTAAACTCCTCCCCGACTAGCATTTTTTTTTTCTATCTATACTCATTTAACTCTCATTTACTTACTGTCTGGTTTTAACAGTATTCTCTTCATATGTCTTGCCTCCGAAGCACTGTTCGATGAATTCCCACTGATAACACCTTCAAGCAGAATACACTCTTAATTATAGAAATAGACAGGTGATGAATGGTCAAGAGAGCCCACCTCTCCATGACATGTAATCATCACTCTTTCTGATTCGTGACTGGGCTGGATGTTTCCGTGGACACCTTGCAAACACAGTGCTTAATGTCCACTGATGACTTACCAATGAGGGCGAAAAGTCCCCCAAACAGGGCAAAAGAGAGCATGGTGGTGAATCTTATCCCACAGCACCTGTTGTGATTTGAAGAAGAAACTGGTTAATTTTAAAACTTGAAAGTTTCCTAAAGAAATTTGCTCTGATTAAAGAAAAAAAGTTTGGAGTCATTTCCAATTCAGTACCCCCTTTCCAGTTCCAAGATTTTCATAGATTCAATATTATGGTTCATTGGCTCACTGTCTTAAGCACAAACTCCCAACTCATTTTAACCCAATTTCATGTTGACACAAGCCTGTGAACATCTTGCATGTGTTACCTACACACTCCGTCTCAAACAAGCAAGGTCACACCAGAATCTTGTTCCCATTCTCGTACTACAATCTCCTTAGAAGATCCAAAGAAACCACGGAAGGAGCATTCGCGGTCACGACTCAGCAGAAGTTTGCGGTGCTCCATTTCTTCCTCCACGGGCTCTACTCTTGGTTTCATTCAAAAAGCAGCTAAATGTGTTTTACAAAATCCCGCAAGGCTAGGACCAACCTGGTTTGTGATCCTGCCGAAGAAAACTCCCCTCTCTGAGAAGATCTTCCAAACTGAGCAGCAACCTGTCAGGAATTTACAAAGTGGTGGCCTTTGTCCTATAACATAGGTTTAAGTTTGAGAATCCATTAGACAGCAGATCTCGGGGTGCCTGGCTTCACTCTGAGCCAACGGCAGTGTGGCCCTCTGGCTCTGAAGGGGCTTTCAGCATGCAGACTCACCTGCCTCTTCCTCCCTTCCTCCTGTACCACCGTCTGGGAGGAGCTTTATATAGGCTTCAAAACCCTCCCTTTAAACCACTGACCTCATTAGGCTTAATTATAATGGTACTTTGGATTTACCTGGCCCTTTTAATAAAAGGATGTCAAAGCATGTAGTAACCACTATCAATTAATTAATCTAATGACTCCCCAAGTTGTACTGGAGGCATACATATATTTGGCAGACTGTTTCTGGGTATCTAAATTGTACTAGGCAAACAGCTTCTGAATTTGAGAAAAGGAAACAGATAATGAGCCTAAAAAAGATAAACAAACAAAGATAAAAAATAAAATACCTGTAGCTCCCATTCCTGGATTGGTAGTTTGCCTCAACTGCTGAGCCTCCTGCTCATTCTTCCTCATTCCGTTGTCACCCGATCCCTGTACCAACATGTCACAGGATCTGGACTGGTGAACTCAGCTCCTTGCTCCAGTTTGACCTCTGACAAACGGACCCAAGAGGGTGTCTGCCTGCCCCGGAACGTCAGTGCAGAACCACATGGGAGTAGCAGCATGGGTGCTGGTTTCCCAGACTTCCTGAGGAAATGGGAAAGAAAGATACGGCCAGGGATGAAAATGTCTTCAAGGATGGACTATATTCACACTTCTGTGTAAAGCACGTTGCACAGCTCCAGAAACAGGGAACGGAAGGGATGTTCTTGAAATAGGCAAAACGCATTTCCAAGAGTGGAAGGAGTGTGACGTGGGTCCCACCACCAGTGTGAGAAGTTTCTAAGACGGTACACATCCTTCCACACATCCACCAAGTGACTCTCAGGAAAATGACTCAGGGAGGGCCTGTGCCACCACCACCAGCAATGCGGCAGTCGGGGCCCCTCTGTAATAAGGGGTTTTGTGTGGGTCCAGCTGCTCCAAGGTAGCCCTCAGGAACACATGGGCTACCACCAGTGACAGTAGTAGCCACACACTGACATAGTGTTCATGGCACTCCCAGTGCAGGGGCTTATGTGGGGCTTCTGGGCTAAGTGTAAGGAGAACGTTCAAGAAAGGTGGAGGAAAAAGCGGAGGAAGAATTAAAAGTTAGGTGAAAGATACTAGGTAGAGGCTGAAGCTGTCCCTAGATTCTCCAAGAGAACAAAAGAAATGATACAACATTGCGAGGACTGTTGAAGGAGGAGCATACTTCACTCTTCTCTCTGTCTTCAGCTGGTGGGGCTACGAGTCCTTCCAGGGCTGAAGGTCTTAATGTCCATGCCCTCTGCAATTTAAATAATTATTTTCAAACTGATGTGGATTATGAAGATTTGCCCAAGTTGCGAGACTACAGGTGAACATTTATTTGACATCCATCCTACATTAGGTTCCTGTGGACACTGTATCATTTATCCCCCCAGAACCTAGTGGGATGGGTATTATCCTTTATTTTAGAGGTGAGGAAACTGAGACTCAGAGAAGTTAAGCAACTTGCCAAAGATGGCACAGGTAGGCAAAGCTGGGATTTGAACCCAGGACTACGAGATTTCAAAATCCATGTGCTTCCACTACATCAGAGCTCCTAGTATTATAGACCAAAGACCCTGCAGAGTGATTACTGCAAGAGGTTCAAATCAATCAGTTTTCACACAAAGCCTTGTCTGTGGTCTGAATAAATAGTTCACAGTCACAGATATTTACCAGTCAGTCAGGTGTTTGTAGATGCTGTTGTAATTTTTAAACACAAATGAATTTGAGTCAACTGAATCCACAGTGGCTTGCTGTCATGTTTTATCTTCCCTACGAGCCTTAATGGTAGCTAACATGCTTCGAGCTTGTACCGTTGGCCTGGTAGAGTAGTAGGAAGGGGCATGGCCTAGGTCTGAACCCAGGTTTGCTGCTCTCTAAAGCATAACTCCTTTCTTTCTTTCTATTGAAGTATAGTTGGTTTATCATGTTGTGTTAGTTTCTGGTGTACAGCATAGTGATTCAGTTATACCTATATATTATTCTTTTTCATATTCTTTTCCATTATAGGTTATTGTGATCTATTGAATATAGTTCCCTGTGCTATCTGGTAGGACCTTGTTGTTTATCTGCTTTATATACAGTAGGTTGTATCTGCTAATCCCAAACTCCTAATTTAGCCCTCCCTCACCTTCCCTCTCTGGTAACCATAAGTCTGTTTTCCATGTCTGTGAGCCTGTTTCTGTTTTGTTAATAAGGTTTAAAAATGGGCAGAAGACCTAAACACACATTTCCCCAATGAAGACATACAGATTGCCAGTAGGCACATGAAGAGATGCTCAGTATTGTGGAAGCCTGACTCTTAACAACCACCATCTACTGACCCAGTGGATGGGGAAGTGTGGGTACTATCATATGAGGATCTTAGACACTTCTGACATTTGGAAGTAGTTGACCGAATGATTCTCCATCTCTCCCCAGGGATGCCAAGAGTGACCATGCGTGGGAGTTGTATTGATGTTGCCTGTGGGGGCTCAAGGGGACCTTGTCACTGCCTATAATCTTCATCAGTTCCACAGACTTCCCAAAATAAAAACACAATCTCTATGCAAGTAATGTCCTTACTATACGAGTGGAACCCTATGACTCGTCCCCTGACCTCCTGCCCCTTCCAATCAGTTGTCTGCCTCTCAGACTTTGCTATAGAGCAATTTTCTGGTAGCCTCTGGTGAGTCATGATACATTTGGGGTTCCTGGCATGGGTGAGGACCTCAGTCAACCTCAAAATCTAAATGGGCTTAAAAATAGACCTTAAGCCAAGATGTATGCCGGTTCCATACAGACAGCTAGCTTTGGTCAGTCTCACCAGAAGCAGAGTGTGGCAGGAAGATTCCCTGGGCTAGAAGTCTAGAAGCCTAGCTCACGGTCTCAGGTCCTCCACTGACTGGCTGAGGGTTACCACCAGTGCAGACATGATTTTCCCATTTAGAGAATCAAAAAGTTGGATGAGAGCAGGTGATCTCTCAAGTGCCCTCTGGCCCCAGCCATCTGCTGTAGTTGGTGAGTCAAGTGCATGCTGGATCCAGCAGAGGGAGTAAATATGGGAGGTTGGGTAGAGAGGTGTGAATACGGATTAAGTCTACATTACAGTTTTTACTGTTTTTCATGGGAACTTGTTCTGCATCTCTGTTGCCATCAAAATCACAAATGCCAATGCAAGTCATCCTATGTTTTAGGGTGGCTTTCAAAGAGTTTTCTCTGATTTTTCTATCTAGCCATTGGCAAGTAGTACAAGACCTTTATCATATGTACACTCAGAATTTAAACTTAAGATGCTGTTTAGCAACCATTTCTGCTATGTCATGGACAACACAGAAGGAGGTGCAGTTTGCTTGTTTGTATGTTAGTCTCAGCCATAGTTACAGAGTTCCCTGCCAGGCTAGGTGAGTCGTGGCAGATATGAGTGCAGCCAAGGAAATTTTTTAAACTTTGCATGTGTCAAGAATTTCCCAAAAGAATGTAAATGGCTGGTAGATCTAGTGAACTGAAAAATCAAGCTTCTTCATTTAAAAATCGTAATTGGCATGAGACTCTCCAATCCAGGCTCTGGTCGCTGTCGCTCGTAGTTGGGGGCCAGGTGGGGCCCACTGTCTGGGGGACTCATTATTGTGTCACAGTGCCTGTTGCTGTGATGTCCAGTTCTGAGACTAGAGTCACATGCCTCTGGCAAGTTCCCTGAGTTTTCCAAATTTTCTGCTGCCTCTCTGCTCCCTGACCCCCGTGTCCTCTTCCACTGAGGTTGATCTGATAACAGAGTTGTAGTCACTGATGATGGAGACTTTAATTTCATCATTTTCAGGTACAATTTAATTTTTAATCAGGGTTTTCAATGCCTCAAGTTTTGTTTTCTCAAAGTGAAAAATGACCCAGTCTGATAGGGAACACCAGAAGGTAGAGGAGACCCACATCTTTGCAAAGGGGTTAATATTTTTATAGTAAAACACATACATTTGAAAATCCACACCTTTATTGTGGAGAAGAATGTGAAAACTGCATGAATGCTTCAGAGGGAATAGCAGGTTCAAGAAGATTTCTCTTTCAACTCCCTCTTGTGACTCTGCCCCAGACACCCTCTCCCCTAGAGTGACCTCTGTCATTGAGAGACCTTCAGTGGAAAAGCTTAAGAAGTACTGTCCCAGTGAGGATGAGGACATGAATGATGATGGAAAATGAAGCACTGTGTGTGCCCAAGGAAGTCGATTTTGGTGAGTGTTCCTTGAGGGAGTCCTCCAGTCATACCACAGAAAGAGCTGCACTTGTGCCCTGAGCTAGCTGGCCTCGGTCTGCGCCCTTGGGAATTAAATGAGGCCAGCATCTCAAGCTCCCTCGGTCCTTCTCCCTCTTTGACCCCATTCACTTCCCTCCCAGAACTATGCTGTGGTTATAGAAACTGGGTTGCTTCCGCCATGTTGCCGTATGTGAATGCCAGCCACAGCTCCCCATTCTCAAGAACAGCAAAGGATGACTATTATGGGTCACTCATTTAACCTCTCTGAGCCCCAGTTGGCCTCATCTGTAAAACAGAGATGATAATGATGCCCCATGACTTTGTTTTGCAGATAAAAATAAATTACATATGTGAAAACATGTTATAAACTGCAGTGCTTCATTCAGATGCCAGTTATTATGATGGGGTTTGCACTCAGATCTTGATGGGTTAGCTCATTGTTGATTTATTCATTTGTTTGCTGCTTTATCCATGGGGCTCCAGGAAAAATAATGGAGAGCTGACTTGTGGGACAGGAAGTAACAAGTAAAGCCTCACTTCCTCCAGGAAGGAAATACGGCAGGACAGGCAAGCGCTCTGGCTGGGACTCTGCAGCCTGCTTGGTGGGGCAGGAGAACAGCATCAAGAAGAGCCACACACAGCTGAGGCATCTCCTGCACGGCTCAGAAACCTGGAGAACGAAGGGGCTGCCCGAGAATGCACGGTAAAGGCACTTGGGTAAAAGTGGCTGGTGGGAAGGCAGAAGGGGAGCCCGTCCACGAAATTTCACTAAAAAGTTGAATTAACCACAAGATATTTCGATGCCTGGCTTGAACTGCTGAATACTCTTCTTGTTTTGGGGCTTAATCTCCTCTATGGTAGGTTAAAGGCCATGTCCTGCTGAGGACACCACTTACATAGTCTTCCAGTGTCAAGTATTTGACCAATATTTCAGAAAAGAAGATACACAAATGGTCAAAAATCCTGTGAAAAGGTGCTCAACATCATCAGACATCAGGGAAACACAAATGAAAACCACAATGAGATAGCATTTCACACTCTCTGAAAATCAAAGTCCAGCTATATCAACTGTTGGCGAGAATATGAAGCAGATAGAACTATTGAACAATTTTGGCTGGAATGAAAGATGGTATGATTGCTTTGGAGAATTGTTTATCAGTTTCTTATGAAATTAAACAGACATCTACCTTTATGACCCAGCAATTCCATTTTGGGGT